AGCCAAGGCTGAGGACGGGGGCGGGGAGGCTGCCAGCCCTGGAGGACACGTGGGAGTTTCCAGGGGAGAGAGGCTCATCTGGCAGAGGGCTGTGTGTCAACAACATGGGGGCCCTGGACCGACGGGGACACGTCTGAGGAATGCCGGGCAGTCAGCCCTGCACCGGCCACGTCTCCTGCTGACAGTCCAGGGCTGACACGGCCCGTGGCAGCTGTCCACGCTTCCTCTTAGCTTCTGCTATCTCTGCCCCCAGGACGAACATCCCTCAGCACCAAAGGGCTTATCTCAACCAAGGCTGGAGTCCATGGACCCCGACCCCACCACAGGGCTTGGGATAGTGAGGACTGGAGACGTCTGTACTCCCCCTGTCATGGCATCTGACTCCACAACTTGGCCTGGGACATGGACGAGCTGGTGGTGGCCTAGGGTGGCTGCCGGGTGGCTGCCGGGTGGCGCACCTGAGGAGGCTCAGTGCTCCCCCTGCTGTGAGGTCACAGGAGTGTGCAGCGGGCAGTGGCTCTGCCAGCCCCGAGGTCAGCTGGACTCTGTCAGCCCGCCCCTGTGCCGGGCACGGAGGGGCCGTGGCCATTGCTCCAGGGGTGCCTGTTCTGCAGCCAAGCTGTACACTGCCCGGGTCAGAGGGCCCCTTTCACTGATGTGCACAAGGTGTCGTAGGACCTAAAGATGACCTCACAGGCGCAGGAGCATGGAGGGAAGGAATTGGCAGAGGAGAACAGGACGGGGGAATTAATTAATTAAAATGAACCTCCCTCCCGGCTCTCAAAGAACTAAACTAACATCCCCTTTGTTGACAGCAATTTCAAACTGGGGTGGACCTCAGCCACTCCTTCCTGTCTGGTCCCCTCCAACAGATCCAGACGGACGGGCACACTGAACTGGGCACCACACCATGTCTATTTTCATTTAGAAAAAAGCAAAAACGGTTGGCCGAGGGTGAAGACCTTCTTGATGAAAGGGGGGAAAAAAATGTCTTTTGGCCTCAAGATGCTATTTTGCACGTGGACATCATAACCCAGCCATGCAGACGACTGGAGGGAGAGACATGACATCCAGCAAGGGTGCGATCGGGCTTCGAGGTGCCTTCAAGGTCATCTCTCTGGTTTTGTTTAAAAAATGCTTTGTGGGTTGTTGCAAAGCATCCAGCAGTTGGTGGAATGCTCCCACACAGCCCTGCTAGTATGTGTGTGCAGTGCACGCACACACCCCCCCACACACCCACCCCACGCTTAAACCCACACCCAGCAGCACACTCCCAAGCCCAGGCCAGGCCTCCGAGGCCAATAAATCAGTTACAAACAATCCGATGAGCATGCCCAGGAGAAGCCGTCTGGTGAGGGGGTAAAGGAAACATCCAAGGCCAGCTGTTCTGAGCTCGCTGTCCCCAGAGTGTCTGCTGACCCAGCAGGCTTTGAATGCCACACAAACATGTCCCAGCCTCAGCCGCAGTCGGGGCCCAGAGCAGGCAGCTCTGAGTTCCCACTCTGATTAGGTAACACAATGCTGGGGAAACAGCTAAGCAAAGAGCCTTCCAGTAATTACATTTTAATTTTTCCAAGGCACAGATGATTTTTTGAAAGCTAGAAACAAAGGATCAGTTTATTTATAAAAAAAAAAAATATTCTCACACGAGGGTGGATGAAGGTCCAGTGCTTTCTGATGATTCACTCCAGTCGTGAGCAACCTGGTCATAGAACCGAGCGATGCAAAGCGCGGAAAAGAGAGAGCAAAGGGCCCGGGATACGGGAGCACACAGCAGCCGAGCGCGTTTACGAGCTGCGCGCGCGGAAATGCGAGAACTCCCACAACCAAGTCTGGAGAAAAGCCCAGGTTGTTGTAAAAGTCAGAGCTGCAGGGAATAAATGGTAATTAAGCCATGAGCTTCAGCGGGAAACAAAGGCCACCACTATTCCACGTTTCCTGGAAAGGAACAGCCGTCTGGAGGGGAGGGTGAGCTGGAGGCCCGGAGAGACCCCGTCACCACCGGCTGNGGAATAAATGGTAATTAAGCCATGAGCTTCAGCGGGAAACAAAGGCCACCACTATTCCACGTTTCCTGGAAAGGAACAGCCGTCTGGAGGGGAGGGTGAGCTGGAGGCCCGGAGAGACCCCGTCACCACCGGCTGAAAGGCGGCAACCGGCAAACACCCGCCCGATCCCCATGTTGGAGCTTGTCGAGGAAAGAGGAAAACCCTGTTTTCTCGACACTGATTTATTTTATGAAAAAGTCAAGTCTGCAAATTCAAGTTCCCTGAACATCGGTGCTCAGGCTGAGGAACCCGAGGGACCTTCCGGGGTAACTGGAATCCCGTCTGCGGACAGTAAGGATTTCTTAGCCCCCAGGGAGGTGCTTTCAAAGGTTTCAGTCTCCCGTGATTTAAAATTCTCCACAGGAGAAATCCTAGTAGAACTTACTTTTGAAATTTTAAAAGCATCAACTCCGCATGCTTGCAGAGCTCCTGGGAACACAAGAGAAGCAGGAAGGCAGATAGCATGTATTAGGGCCCTGGCTCCCGTGCTTGACCCTCCCTTACTTGGTAAGTATCACGGCCCCATTTTACAGACGGGGAAATGGAGGCTCGGTAACCAGACTTGGATAGAAACGCAGGCCTCTCTTTCTCCAACACTCACGCTCCTCTAGGCAAGCCCTGCGCCTCCCTGACCGAAGTTCTGATAACCACCAACGAATAATCTTCGAGGACTTAGGAGATTTCCCTGGATCTTAATGTGTTTATACAGAGACGTGGGTGGGATAGAGTCAAGGTTCTGCTTTTAATCCTAAAGATAAAAAGACTCGAGGGATAGACGCAATAATATTAACAGCCATTACCTCCAAGACATGGTGAAGTCATTATAGGTCTTTTTAATTTTCTCTTTTGCCGTCTCTTTTGTTTTGGCTTAAACTTAATATAATGACTATATACTTGCTATGAAAATTAAAGTTATTGGTTATATTTCATTTATCCCAGGGGACATACAGAAAAAAAAAAAAAAAA